GAGGAGGAAAATAATAGGGCCTTACTAGTTCTTACCTTCTAAAAGTAATAATAATAATAGTAATAGGACCTTATTTATTTGTTTGTTTATTTTGGTTGGGAGTCTGATTGGGGAGTGGGACTGGAGGTAATAGTAGGGTTGAGATTTCTTTTAAATGCTTGCACATGCAGTTAATTATAGAAAATGTTAGATCTTCAATAAATTTTAACTGAAGTCAAACCAAACCCGCCACCCCACCCCCACCCTCTGAAAGGAAAAAAAGAGGACAAAGAAACTTTGTAGTTTATAAACTTGCATGAGCAAGCATGTGCTGGACGCCAAGTTTCATGTGATTTTAGCTTAGGTAAAGAATGCACTTGCTAGTCAGACCTTACGCCTACAATCCAATTGTCAGTCCATAATAATCCCTCTGCTTGAAAGTGAATATGTCCTTTGACTTGACACACTTCCGTATAAGAATATTTGACTTATAATTTCTTATTGAGTTAGAACTGTTGTATTCACTATCTAAAAGGAGTCCATATGCGGGTTAGAGTTATTCTTTGTCATCCAATCTGCGAAGGTGGAGTAGATCTTAATCTTTTGGTGAGGCATATTGCCATAAATCTTTTCAAAAGCCTTTTCTTTTTACTGTATTCTATTGAGAAAAGTCACATTTACGGCGGATGTTATAGAACAGGGGTGATCTAGTATTGTCCATGAAGTGGTTTCAAGTCTTCAGTTTGCATTCCTATAGTTGGTCCTAAATAAACCATTCGACATTTTCTCAACTACATTCACCTCTTGTGTATATATTCCTCTTGTCTGTTAAATTATGGCAGGTCTACATCTCCTAACTTATTCTGTGATTGTTTGATTTCTAGGTCCCGACTTTGTTCAATTTAGTTCTTAATTAAGAAATGGGAGATGCTAAAGATATGAAGGAAAATGCTCCTCCAGAACCGTCCCATGAACCTAAGGTTTCCTCTCCAAATGACGATCAATCACATAGTGCAGCTCAAACCAGCCAACATACCAGTGAAATAGAGATCTCCAAAATTCAGGAGACAGCTGTAGATGCTTCAGAACATTTAAAAGAGGCTTCTCATAGTTTACTGCAGGAAAGTCAGACTCCTGCAGGAGGAAATTTAATTTCGGCCGCTCCCATTAAATCTGATGGAATGAGTACCATTTGTGAAACAGGAATTTCTCAAATGGCTTCTGGTACACCTATGGTTGAGCCGGAAGCCTCACCTCAATTAGCACATGATCTGAAAACAGATCCTTCTGCACATAGTATTGCAACAGCTCTCTCAGAATCCAATTCATCATCCACATTGGATGCAAAACCAAGTGAAATCTTGGAGCCAGCATTGGACATGGGTGCTAATGTTAAGGTTCAGAACCAGCCAAATGATTCCTCTGAAGGACCAACAGCCGAGAAAGATGCTTCATCAGCATTAACCGGATCGACCTTAAAAGAGGAAAATAGAAAGGAATCTTCTGAATATGTTCAATCTAATCATTCAGAAGTAGCAAAGGCATCTTCTGAACATGTTCAATCTAACCATTCAGAAGTAGTAATGGAATCATTTGAACATGTTCAGTCTAACCATTCAGAAGTAGCAAAGGAATCTTCTGAACATGTTCAATCTAATCATTCAGAGGTAGAACCAAATAATGCCTCACTGTTTCATCAGCCAGATAATTCTAGTAGTAGTACCCATATCTATGCGGATGACTCTTCTCCTTTATCCACTCAAGTGATGAGGAAACCAGAAAATAACCATCATTTACTGACACCAGATAACATTGTTCGCCCGCTTGCTAAGTCTTCCACATTCTCAGCAAGGGCCTCAATACGCGCTGCTAGCCCGAAGCATCCTGAAAAATCTGACATAAATAAAGGCCATATCGATACAGCAGCGCCAATTGAATCTGTGAAGCAGGCAGTTTCCAAGTTTGGAGGGATAGTTGACTGGAAGGCTCATCGTGTACAGACTGTGGAGGTAATATACACTTTTTGATCTTTTGTTTTTCTGATAGCCAATTTCCTGTCAGAGATTTGATACCACTTCATTATTTTAATCATTTTATAGTTATATCTGCAAAGAACATTAGTTCAGTTGAATAACCAGTAGCTGTTTCAATTTTAAAATGTGCACTTGCATCTATGACTCTACTTAAGGATAGCCTAGTGTAAAGGATCCTCCACCTCCAACTATGAAGTTGTGGCTTCAAGTCACCTTTTCCAAGAGACCAAAGGTGGTAACAGCCAATAGGCTCTATTGTCCTGGGTAGGGGAGTTTGGGGGTGTTGTTCACCATATCAAAATGAAAAGGGAAAAAATCTATGGACATGTACACTGTTTCTTTTACGTTTGAGTGGGTCTACATCCCACATTAATCCCACAATTTAATGTTCTAGTCTCTGACTATTAAAAATCACTTTCTCCTGGCTAATGCAGAGGCGGCAACTTGTTGAACAAGAACTATCAAAAGTGCAGGAGGAGATACCATTTTATAAAAAACAGTCTCAGGCTGCTGAAGATGCAAAAGTGTTAGTCTTGAAGGAATTAGATGGCACTAAGAGACTTATAGAAGAATTGAAGCTGAACCTGGAGAGAGCACAAAAAGAAGAGCAACAAGCAAAACAGGATTCAGAACTTGCCAAGCTTCGGGTGGAGGAGATGGAGCAGGGGATTGGCAATGATCTTAGTATTGCAGCAAAAGCACAGCTTGAAGTTGCTAGGGCCAGGCATGCAGCTGCAGTTTCTGAGCTAAAAACTGTAAAATCTGAGTTAGAAGATCTTCGAAAAGATTATGCTTTATTGGTGTCTGATAAAGATGGTGCGGTGAAAAGAGCAGAGGAAGCAGTCTCTGCATCAAAAGAAGTTGAGAAGACGTTGGAGACTTTAACTATAGAGCTAATCACTGCAAAGGAATCTTTGGAGGTTGCTCATGCTGCACATTTGGAGGCCGAGGAACACAGAATTGGAGCAGCTATGGCAGGAGAGCAAGATGCTTTAAACTGGGAGAAAGAACTGAAGCAAGCTGAAGAGGAGCTTGTCAGACTAAACCATCAAATTTTGTCTGCCAAGGATCTGAGAGGAAAACTAGATACCGCTTCAGCCTTACTGCTGGATCTCAAAACTGAGTTGGCTGCTTACATGGAATCAAAGTTGAAGCAGGAAACTGATGAAGGAAACCTCAATGGCGAACAGTCAGAGCCAGAGAAAAGAACTCACGATGAGATACAATCAGTAGTGGCCACAGCTAAGAGGGAACTAGAAGAAGTGAAACTCAACATCGAGAAGGCTACAACTGAAGTAAATTTCTTGAAGGTGGCAGCAACTTCATTGAAAGCAGAATTGGAAAAAGAAAAGTCAGAACTAGCTGCGATCCAACAGAGAGAAGGAATGGCATCGGTTGCTGCTGCATCTCTTGAAGCTGAGTTGAGCAGGACGCAGTCAGAGATTGTTCTTGCACAGAAGAAGGAAAAAGAAGCAAGGGAAAAGATGGTAGAGCTTCCCAAGCAACTCCAAGAGGTATCCCAAGAGGCTGATCGTGCAAAATCACTTGCTCAAATGGCGAGGGATGATCTGAATAAGGCAAAGGAAGAAGCTGAGGAAGCAAAGCTTGGAGCAAGTACTGTGGAAAGTAGACTACTTGCAGTTAAGAAGGAGATAGAGGCTGCGAAAGCTGCGGAGAAGTTGGCGCTAGCAGCTATAGCTGCTCTTGAGGAGAGTGAATCGGCTCAAAAAACCAAAGATGAGGAAACCCCACCTGGAGTAACTCTATCTTTGGAGGAGTATTATGAGCTCAGCAAGCAGGCGCATGAGGCAGAGGAGCAAGCTAACAAGAAGGTGGTTGATGCTCATACCCAAATAGATGTAGCCAAGGAGTCAGAGCTGAAAAGCCTAAACAGGCTGGACGAGGTTAATCGTGAGATAACTGAAAGAAAGGAAGCTCTAGGAGTTGCATTGCAAAAGGCTGAGAAAGCCAAGGAAGGGAAGTTGTCTGTAGAGCAAGAGCTGAGGAAATGGAGAGAGGAGCAGGAGCAGAGACGGAAAGCTGGTGTATCCATTCCACCTACAGCAGGGAGTCCTAGAAAGAGCGATGAGGAGAACAATGAGTCAAAGACCTCTGAAAGTGCACCGGAGGCTACTGCATCTTATGACAGCACAAGTCCGAAAGCCCAACTGCAAGCAAGCAGCACTGAAGCTGATTCATCCCCAGATGTGAAGGTTCCAAGGAAAAAGAAGAGGTCCTTCTTCCCAAGGATCTTCATGTTTCTAGGCAGAAGGAAAGCAGCACAGGCCAAGTCTGCTCAATGATTGCTGCATGCACAACATCTTGTCATTGTTAAACAATTGTTTCTCCAAATTTTTGGCTGTTTGTCTCGGTTGTTAAAGCAGAAAAGTAATCTTTCCCGATATGTACATACAGAGCATTCTTTTACATGTACAATATTAAATTAATTCTCAGTCACTCATAGATAGCATTATAGGCGGGGTATAAGCTTGCTGTAGGTTTGGCTGCTAGTTTCAAATGTCATTTCTGGTGCTTCAAATGTCCATTCCTTCTAGTTTTGCCAACAGGAGTTGTTGAGTTCGGCTTAATCGTCATTTCTGGGCTCCTATTTCATTTTTGCCTGGTTTTGTAAAGAATAATGAGACTGGGTGAGTGCTTCATTATTTGGTAGGCATTCAATATATAATATACCATCATTAGAAGTTTTTTCTTTAATTCAATCAGCATAGTATTGCCTGCTTGTATCCATTCTCCCTAGTTTATGCCATCTAGTCTTGAATGTGTTATACTTTCTTTCATCGTCCTAAGAGGTTATGAAAATGAATACATCCTGTAAACTGAGACCAACTGGTCATGAGGCAATAAGCAAGGTTCATAATGCAAATGATATCCAAATGTTGCTTCCTCCCTCCATTTTACTTGTCCATGCTTGACGTAACACATCCCGAAGAAATAATTAGTAAAATGGTGAAGTGAGACTACTGAAAATAGGTCAACTACTTCATATCAATAGGGATGTGTCCAAGAAAAACAGAAATATTGGAAAATGCATATCACCTGGAATCATTGAACGGTTATCTAAAGCAAGCAGTAATTAGTTATTACAACAACAATAATGTCAGGTGAGGATACCTAGAATTTGGAAGACTGCCTTAAAGGTCTTTAAACTAAAGTAGTAATACATTGAACTAAAATGGTTCGCAGATGTGCAGTTTTTCAAGCTACTTAGTGTGAGAGACACTAATTCTGCTACAGATAAACCTAATAAGTTGCATATATATGAACATAATGATTGTTCAAATTTGTAAGCGCCTGCTAGAGATGCTGAATGAGCTGACTTTCATGGGGGTTGCTACCACCAGTGGTGCTTCAGGTGAGTCAGAAACAGCATACTTGTCATGCATGAAACGACTTTCTACAATAGAGTCGTCTCTTAGAACTATCTTGTAACAATAGCAGCTCTTCAACCCCACCTGATTCTGGTAACACTCATGAGAACCATCCTTCACCTGTTGAAAATTCCATATCACACTAAACTTCCCAACAGTAGCAACAAGGTGGCGCTCCTGCTTCCCGTTCTCAGTGACCTAAGAAAAGTTCACAGTAAGAAAGTGAGTATCAGTGGGCTACAGAATTAACAATAGAATCTGCAATTTATATCAACAAATACTAGCAGTTCAAATTTGCAGGATTTACTTGGAAAGGAGTATAGTAGGGTAAGATAAAAGAAGCTATATATACAAGCTAATAAAATCTTCATCCATAGTGCATTTAAGCTTCTCGATGATAAGACATATATACCTTATTTCAAGCTGCAGTTTAGGCTTACTCCTTTAAATTTAGTATATGGATCTAAGATAGTAAATCGAGTATGATACCTCTCCCCAACCAAGGGATGCTAGAATGAGATGTAAGAGCATGACTCCTAGTAGGATGAAGTAGTTTTGATTTATCCCTTTTTCTTCTCCATATTTCAAGTTTTTAACATCAGTATACATGAATTAGTTAGGGAAGAACTTCATAGTCTAAAATACAAATTATTTAAATCCAGTCCAGCATGACTTATGAACCATATAAGTAAGACACTAAGACTCGATGCTTAAACAAAAATTATCAGCTAAAGATCATCAAGAATAGTTGTCCTGAATAAAGAACGATCAGTGCGAAATCTCATTACAACAAAACTCTCTAAATTATTTAATAGGAATTCCAAAAGCCAGTCCATCTCATAGCATGCATTGCAAAAGAGCATACTTCGTAGTGATATGGTGCACAAAAGTATAAATTTCCTCTTCAATTAGAAAGGTAAAGAAAGTCATACCAAGCCAAATAGTGGATCTCAAATTACAACTTATATTAGCGCGAAAGATGCAAATAATCAAAGAAGTCCCGACTCTAGAGAGCTAGAAACATTCTCAAACCTCCTAGAATTTATGACTGAATATACAATCCATCACATATGATATCGGAGTATATACAAAGACATAGACAATATAGATATAGATTTCAGAAACACATCAATGTCGTTTCCTTTGCTTTTAAACACACACCATAAGGAATTAACTAAGCGAAAACTATTATGTTTGCATGAAGGACGAAAAGTAAGCATGCTAGTCAAAGTGTATGCTACATATACAACAGCTACAAGCTAAAAGTAAGGGTAGAAGAGGAGAGGACTCATACCCATGAAAATTGAGCACTACGGAACTTGTTAGCTCCAGCCATATGTGAATCGAGAGGGTTTAGCTTTAACAATCTTGGAGCGGAAATCTTATTCCCCATGCGACCAGCAAAACCAGTCTTAGCAGTTCCATTCTTGTCGATAAACAAGGTGCATATCAATATCAAGTAACTATCAGTTGTCCCCAATATCCACTTCCCATCATAGGTAACATCCACATGAGTGATAGGAGAACCAAGGCCTGGAAAAGCAGTTTTAGCCTGTCTCATGGAACTGCTTGAGTACAATCTAATCTTGCCATCTAGTGAACCAACAACAATTGATCCATCACCAGTAGTAGCAAAACACTGAAAGTTAGTTCCCCTCGAAAATTGATGTCCTTGAGTCCAATTCAGCACAGGAGTACTTTCATCGACTAGATTCTGAACCATCCCATGCCGATCACGCATATCCCACCTACACAATCTGTTATCATCTAGCCCTAAGAAAGTAGACCCCGAGGGATCCATCTGAGCTCCTTTGCTATCATTAGTGATATCCCTCATCGTGATATCAGTTCCATCTTTCTCAAACTTCCACTCACTAACAACCTTCCCAGTCTCTATATCAAACTGATGTAATCCCCGAGAGTGAGGCTTCCTATCAGTCACTGGACTCATAAGAAGCATATTAGTCTCAGCTCTTAAAAGTAGAGCTTTCCTTGGAGTGGAATTAGGTACAGCAGACCTTTCCTTATCAAAATTGACACAAACACCTTTTCCACTTATCCCATGAGTATAGTTCCTCACAACCTGAATTCCAGAATCACTTATAAGAAAACTATTATCCAATGCACCTAATGCCAAGCTCTGAATAGCTCCTCCTTTAGCTGCCTCTTCAAACTCCTCCCTCAAATCATGGTTAACCCTCAAAGGTGTCTTCTTCTCAGACGCAGGGCTCTTCGCAAAGCTATCCCCAGCATCCTCCCACATCGAATCATCCGCAGCTTCTGGATTCGCCCACCCCATAAAGTCCTTACCATACACCTTAACTCTATTCTCATCATTTGCCTCAAACCCATAAGTATTCTCAAACAAACAGCTCTGATATAAGTCAATGAACGCCTTATACTCTTCCTCCCCAAAGAATCTCACAGCCCAAACCCCATTCGCCACAAAATCCACCCGTTTCTGCTCCTTAAACGCCTTCAGCTGCAAATTCTCATCAATCTTAGCCCGAACCTTCGACCCAATTTTCAAAACCCACCAAGTATTCTCCTCAGTTTCTTCATTTTCATCATCATCCGACCCATCCCCACTACCCGATTTAACAAACGAATAAGCCGCCACTTTATCAGAAACGACCCATTTGGAATTCGCAGTGTTCCCACCAACATGAAGGTAAAGTTTAACAGCGTTTTTCGCTGTGGGGGTTTTAGCATGTGGAGTACCATACTTGAGCTTTAAAGCTTTCAGCTTAGCTTCAACATCGTCCAATGAAGATGGGGTTTTGCTCTGTTTCCGGTCAATGGAAGATGGCGTCGTTTTAGCATCTGAGTAGTTATCTTCGTCTTCCTCTTCCTCCCTTGTTCGAGACTCCGACCCGTATTCGGATTCAGACTCGGAATCAGAAAGCTCCAGATCTTCACGGCTGTGATTAGCACCCATTTGAACAAAGGAAATTTTGTTGATTCAGAGGAAAATGTGAAAGCAAAAATGAAGAGAACCTTAGTGAAAAGGGAGAAATGTGAGGAGCGCAATTTTCAAAATTTGAATTTTGACGGTTTGATTGGCTTATTAGGGTTTCAACTGGTACAAGTGGAAAGAGGAAGATGCCAATTTTAAATAAAATACAATAAATAAATAAATGAAATTAATACAGTATTTTTTTTTTTGCATTAATACATAATACAACTTTGGAGCCGTTTGGCTATAGATGTTGACTCAAAAATTTTTATATTAAATTTGAAGATTATTTTGAATATATATAAAATAAACTTTAAGTTTCCATTCACGACAAATACATAAATTGCTGAAAATCAAATTACTGTATGAATAGCAGCCTTATGCAACAATACATAAAATGACAATTTTACTATATCATTTCTAATAATATATTTTGAGAAATGAATGGTAAATTATCTTTTGATTTTGAAATTGAACAAATAAAAAGACATTTACTTTTATATAGTGAATAAGTAAAAGTGGACGATGAGGTGTTTTTACTATTTTATTCTCATTATCTTTTGTAATTTTGTCAAATTATCTGTCATTTATGTTGAAAAAGATATTGAAGTTTATGTTAGTGTAATACTCTCCCCTCCTCACCCGTATTGAGTTCTCCAAAAACGTACTTAATTTGATATATCTAACACACATCCAAAGATATTTTTGACAAGCCCTAGCAACATAGAATTTAAGAAGGAACTAAGAAGAAGAATTGGAAAGAAACATAAGCAATCATCACAAATCTCAAAGGAAATTTTTGTGGCATATATTGAAATCTATAAATACATTAGCTCAATTTTTGTGCACATTATAGTAAAAATTTCTTATAAGATCAAATGCAAAAGTTTTTTTTATGCCTTTTTCTCCCATACAGCATAGTCTTGTCCAGAAGCTGACACTTGATAATTTGGTGGAATAAGACTTCCAAGATCAGTTTTTGGCCCAATCTTAACAATAACCTTCTCATCAATCATAGCTACATAAAGATCAGAATCTGCAAATTACTTGTTTCAGATTTAAGCCAATTCATCCAATCTGATAACTCTTTTTGAACTCTTTCGTTAAGATGATCGATATCAGGGGCACCTCCAAAGTCCTCACCAGTATCATCATTTCCAGTGCCATCAGAATATTGTGTGTCACCTTTGCAAATAATATTCGGGCCCCAATCAGACGTTCCGCCTTCAAAAATGCAGTATATTCCCCTGCTGTCTTTTTTATCAGCACATCTGTGGTCTATTACTACATCAGCTACAGCTTTTATCCCCTACCCATGTAACGCCTTTATAAGATCTTTCAGTTGTTGTCCATTCCCAAACTCGGACGAATCCAACTCATACAATCTCTGTGGCATATATCCTGCCACGAAATAATTGTCTGTTATAACATATACATGAAATAGAATGGGTGACCTAAAGCCAAAATGTTCTGGAATGTTACCTTGAGGCGAAACAGAATTAGATGGGGAGGTAACCAAACATGAGTAATTCCAGCACTAGCCAAGTTTGGAACTAAGTTGATGAGAGAGTTGTACCATCCACCTTGCTTATTACTCGATTCCCAATCGAACCCCTAACGAATCGTTAAACAAGAAGAAGTAAGTTATATAAATATGAAAAACTTAGACGATATACAAATCGATACATTGAGGGGGACAAGGGGCACCTGAAACAACAGCGTTGGAGCTGCAAATAGCGGAAAAAGAGAGAGAACTAAACAAAGAGGAAGAAGGATATTCATTGTTATTTGTGTTGTGTGTTGTGAATTCTAGGATGATGAGATAAGAATGGCAAGAAGCACAAAAATGTTAAAAACTTTTTTGCCTTCAATTATGATTTTAACCAAATCCAGTCAACTATGCATTATAATGTTTTTGCCTTCAATTAAGAGTCTTTTGGATTATGGTTGTTTTCTTCCAATCAACTTATGCATTAAAGTTCTTGTCTACAGTATCCAAAGAAGAAAATTTGACAAGTTTCAGTCTTTTTTTTTTGGTTATAAGCCTATAAGACTTGGAGGTTTCTGCCTAAGTAATATCATATTTGGTAGTTGGCTAGGAGGTTAGCTATACATATATAAAATTAATAAAGTGTTCCATTTGCTATTTAGATATGCGCATAGCGAGCACATGTATAAGTTATAAGAGGATCTATGTATTATTTTATGCATTATAGAAGGTGAAATAACCAATACATAAATAGTTAAAATCGATATTAACTAACATCTGCATAAAATAATACTTAAATTCTCTCCTAACTAATCTCTGCATTACTAATTACTCTAACTAGCTACCAAATAACCCCTTAGAGAATAGGTGAAATATTTATTAAATCAAATGTAAGAGATAGAGTAATTTCAACAAATGTTCACTGCAAGTCTGTAACTAATTAAGCTTACAAGTCTTTTTCAAGAAATATTGTAAAATTGTAAAATAATGTGGACCAAAACTAGGTACAAGATTTAGTTTGCAATAGAGAAGTCATAATGTAATTGTGAATTGAGCAAGGTCTATCGAATTGAATATAATTTCTTGAATTTTTGGCCTTCATTATGCCGATATAAATTATATTTTCAATCATATAACATTAACACTAAGAACCATTTTGTCCATGGTCACTTTTAGTGTGGTAAATAAATGGTACTACAATATGATTATGCCTTTTGCTCCCATACAGCATAGTCTTGTCCAGAAGTTGCCACCTCATAATTAGGTGGAATAAGATTTCCAAGATCAAGTTTTGGCCCAATCTTGACAATAATTTTGTGATGAATCATTGCTATATAAAGATCTGAATCAGAAGCCATTATTTGCACATTGCTTGTTGCACAAATCCTATTCCTCTTCCTAATAGAGATTAGTGCTGAAATTCCATCCTTGAAGCCCCAATCAAAGAAATGGTCATAAAACTGCAACCAAAAACAAGAATTTAGAACTCCTCAGCTACTTGAAAACAAATGAGTCATATTCTGTAAGCCTAATACATAAACAGACACTCAAACATGGCCTCAACTGGCAAGTAAACACTCCAACTTTGAGAGTGCACATCTAGACACCTCAACTTGGTTTTATCTAGAAACTAACTACTCCAACTCGTCCCCGCTGTCTCTTCGTGGACACATGCTGCTAATGTGACACATAAATTTTGGAGGAGTCTAGATGATCATTTTGTAAGTTGGAGTGTCCAATTGACAGGGTGTAGATGAGTTGAGGTGTCTAGAAGTGCATACTCAAAGTTGGAGTGTTTGTTTATGTATTATGCCTATTCTGTATTATGAGAATCGATCATTAGTTAACTAATTTTATGTTTTAGTAGCCTACTACTGAGACCGGCAATGTGAGCAAACTCACACAGGCAGAGTTTCTCAAATTCCCTGAAAAAGAATATGAATTTCTTGTAAAATAGACACAATGAGAAATGCATAGTAAGAATTTAGAGAGAAAGGATTTCTTTTTTTACCACTGATGGGATTCCTGGATGAGTTAGAATGTATGCATATCCTTGCATAACTTTGTCTGAAGGGAAAGGCCACATATTTTGTGTCGATCCAGTATCATGATTATCGATAAAAGTCACAGCTTTTCGAGGCAAAACACCTATCATCCCAGGAGGTTTTCCATTGGAATCCTTTAATCTCCATAACTCTCCTTGAACTGCTGCTTGAAGAATTCCCTTAGTTGTAAAATCAAAGGCTGTTACAGCCCGCCCTGCATTTTTAACCCAACCAACTAGCTCATTCCTATGATTGTCCTGGTTATATTCCGGTTTCCCATCCTGGCCATAAGCAAGAGAGTTCCAAAATTCACCAACTGCAAAATCCGGGGATGTGTTTCTCATATAAATCTTGGTAATGCAAGGTGCATATCCCCTAACAAAATCGAAACGCCAACCATCAAATCCAATTTCAGATTTCAGCCAATTCATCCAGTCTGATAACTCTTTCTGCACTCTTGTATTAAGATGATCGATATCAGGGGCAGGTTCAAAGTCCAAACCCGTGTCTGGATTCCCTGTGCCATCAGAATATTGTGTGTCGTTCTTGCAAATGAAAGATGGACCCCAATCAAGCCGGTCATCAGACGTTCCTCCTTCAAAGATGCTGTATATTCCCCTGCTATCTTTGTTATCAGCAGTTCTATGATTTATCACTATATCAGCAACCGATTTGATCCCGTGGTCATGTAAAGCCTTAATAAGAGTTTTCAGTTGTTGCTGATTCCCAAACTTGGAAGCATCTAAGTCATACAACCTTCCTGGCATATAACCTGGCATGAAAGATGGCAAAAGCCTTCAAGCAATTCCATTTTGTAACTACTACATCAATTTTAATTTTGGCAATCTATCAAACATGTAAAATGCATGCCATTAATAGGACAATTAGCTCAAACTCCAATCTTTATAACTTGTGGATTCCATCCACTTCCTAATATAGGAAGAACAAATATCATTTCTAACGATATGAATACCACTCTTTTCTTTTTTCATCTGTTGTGGTGTTCAGGATAACTTACATGTGTCTCGACTAGTGGGTATCAAATGGGGCAGTTGCACTACGTCAAAATGAGCTGAATTAATGATTAGACAGATATCTAAAAGTTACTTGAGCTGAAATATACTAAAAATGAATCATAAACCAACTCATCCAATTCTTATTGTGTTTTTCTTATTTTTTTAAAAAACCTAATAAAACTAAAAAAAAAAAATCATTTATTAAGACTATATAACATATCAAATGAAAAAACTTATTTTTTGGAAAAATATTTTGATAAAATCTCTATTGGTCAATTTGAGCTACAATATCAACAAAATTTTATGGATTGAACTAATAAATAAGTTGGTCGTTAACTTGTCTAAACTTGAAAGGGTTAGACTAATCATATTTTCATGAGCTAATTTTATCAGTCATAGTCTCACTGAGGCTTGAGCGGGTTGCATGGATTATATTTTCATTGAAATTTAACTTCAGTGATCACTAGGTCACAATCACACCGAAAATTACCTTGAGGAGAAACAGAGTGAGATGATGGTGGTAACCAAACATGAGTAACTCCAGCTTTAGCCAAGTCTGGAACTAAGTTGATGAGAGAGTTGTACCATCCACCTTGCTTATTACTCGATTCCCAATTGAACCCCTAACAAATGAATTCAAAAATTATAGAAAAACTAACATTTTTTTGGATATACTTGAGCAAGTACATAAACATAGATATACATATACATGGGAAAAGTTTGAAGAAATTAAGGTTCTTCAGGATGGATACCTGAAACAACACCGTTGAAGAAGCAAACATAGGAAGAATAAAAGAGAGAATTAAGCAAAGAGGAAAAATGGATTTCATTGTTGTTGTGTTGTGTTGACTCCAAGTCTAGGATGAGCAACAAAAGATGGGCAAAGAAACACTATTTAAATGTGTTTTAGAGACTAAAAAACTGACTTTTTTTTTAAAAGTTCACGCACTGGGTACAAGATTAACGACCTGGAAATTTCTCAAACGTCTCTCAAGTACAACAATAGAAAAAAATAGTGTGTTCGCAGTCTTAACATGCCTTGAAAAAAGATAAAAGAGGTTGTTTACTATAGAACTCGACGTTAAAGTCACTTAATTGAGTTCTCCACTCTGATGCTGACCGTACAAGACACGGGAGTTGTGTGGTCTGTATTCAAGTTGTGGAAAAAAAAATAGAGAATAAGCTTCTACAAATGTGGGGGCACAGGTGCACCATCTAGAATTATTGGATTCAGAGTGTATATATATAGTAAATGTTGAATCCGTTTGATGAAAATTCTGGTGGATTTGAAAAATGGGGATATTTTCACATTATGCTCGAAGTGACTTCCTGAATGGTGGGGACGACCAGAGAATAATTCAGTGACATCATGAAAAAAAGAAGACGACCAAATTGGAGAAAAGAGGGTGCATAATCGAAAATTAGAAAGTGATCGATCATGCCTACTACATTGAATATGTTGTTGTTGATGATCGATCATCTGAAACAGGCTTAAAAAACAGTAGACTCAGTAACTCATAATCTGATTGCAGAAGTATCAACAATATTCATGAACTTTATCATCCATTCGTAGATTCATTTTAGAGAGCTTTACCATTTCTGCTTCCCTTCAATGGCATATCATTAGCTACAGAGCATCAATAATCAAATGCTACTATGATAAATAAAGCTAATTTACTTGAACTTCAACCAACACCGCAGCAGGTTGAATCAATTTATCGTACAATCACAAACAGCACATTACACGACTTGTATGAAACAGAATAATTAATGGAGGACATAATCATAATACTGAATCACCATCAGTAATATTATAAGCTCGTACACATAATCATAAGGCTCGGTGATAATGGAAGAGCATATAAAAACCATACTGCATGATGAAGTTGCTTTGAGCACAACAGTAAGACAAGTGAAGCTAACAACTCTTATAGTTTCTAATGCTACAGATATATACATAAATTTCAAACAATCACACATGTCTCAATGTAAAGTTGCTTAATCTTCGACTATATAATCATTTCACAAAAGAAGGTAAAAAAACTCCTCAAGAAGGATCTTTCGGATCAACTAACATGTCAATCCACAATAAGCTTTCTGTGAGATGTAACCTTGAACAATCATCTAATATTCAACCAGCTAGTATGTTTTACTAGCATTTGGTTACGTCACCATTGCAAATGAGCAGCATTTCATCAGCCAGATGCTGTATAATAACTCGGATGGGGTTTACAATAACCAGCACTTAAGCATTAGCACTTCCAACAGAGTTTTGAATAACTACACTTAATTTCAGTTGTAGTATTAGCCAACTATTAAGGACAAAGTTGCATGAGCAACTTAGCTAAGATGATGAGAGTATAATCAGATCTCCGCTAACGCCACAGAAGGCTGAATCAATTTATCTTACAGTCACAACTCACAAGCAGCAGTTACAAGACTTGTATAAAACAGAATAAGTAATGCAATGTCAGCTTTCATCTTCTGTAATATGATCTCAGTATAAAATGATAAGACATAATTATAAGGCTCTAACAGCGACTCTGCCACAGTAAAATGAGAACATTTATATTCAGTTCCTTTAATATAAGCCCAGAATTCCATTACTACATCACAAAGGAACACATAATTATACCTAAGAACAGACAGATACATTATAAATCCTCCATAATTTCTTATCGTATTATCTGATTTCGTGACTCGAGAGAAAAAAACCTAAATGAACAGTCTTTCTACTGACATTTAGCGAATTTGTTCACATCTTTGAGGGCTTTGGGAAAATATCAGGTGTGAATTTCTGAGCTGCACTTATGCTGCCCTTAATCTTCATCGCACCCCTGCATCAAGATCCAATCGAAAATAACATATTACCAAAAAAGCTCGAAACTTTTAGTGTGGCAAAAAGTACAAAGAATCCCAACAATTGAAAAAGGCAAAGAGAACTTATGTTGCTAAAACTCAGCAAAAATGTGACCACACTCGTGTCAGATCCTCCAAAAATATACTACTCTACTACTTTTCGAAGATCCGGTATGCACCATAGGGCATTTTTGAAGAGTCCGAGCAACATAGTATTAAACAATAATAGTACCTCATAAAAGCAATTTGAGGGTTCATTTTCCCAGTGGCAATCTTCACAAAATCACCATCAGTAAATGAAAAAGTTGCATCAGGCTTCCCACCTTCATATGGCCCTAAATTCCCAAATAACAAAATACCCAAATTCAATTCGGATCCAAAATATTCAATTGGAAACCTGACCTAGAAACTGATAAATCTGGATCCTTTCAACACAAATTCTCTACATATGTTACTATATTATTCCAATAATGATTTTTAAAAAAGTCAAAAAATTGAAAAACAGCCTAACCTTCCTTTGTTTCTCCTTTTTTCAGATCAACAACATACACCTTCTCATTGAATCCAATTTTCTGCCGATCAAAAAAATATATTAAAAAAATCAAATTAATACAGCAAAAAAAAAAACTACATATATACATGAATATAAAAATTAGGGGAAAATTAAACCTTAGGTGCGATGTTGATTTGGTAAACGAGACCAATTTTCTTAATGAGTTCCTTTCCAGCATCAGTAGAAAGATGAAGTTTCAATTGATCGAATATAGCATCTGATTTGAGCTGAGTAGACGTTTCCGCCATGGCTGATTTTGATGCGAAAAGTAAAAGAGGAATAGAGAATTATGAGGTAATTCCTATTATATATATAGAGTAGCAGTAGCAGTAGCAGTAGCAGTATTAATGGGAGATGGAAATTTGGTGGAAGAAAGATTAAATTTGTTTTTGCAGTTTTGGTTAGCAACGAAGAAGACGAGTAATAACTGCAAGTAAGATAAAGTAGGTGACAAGAGATGGACACGCAATTCAATGTAGAAGATTAGTTATTTCTTAATATATCATCTTCCATTTTTATTTATATATCGTTCTTACTTAATAAATAATAATATTCATTTCTTAGTACTTGTCGTTGCACAAAATCATTGTATAAATAACACTAATCTTCATATTTTACTTAGAGAGGTATCAGTCTTGAAAGTATAAATTTAACAACTTAAGAAAACTAAAGGATTAATTCATGTTCATTAATCAATTTTATTAATCAAAATAAATTAATATATGTTCATTTATTGAAAACTTGACTTCAAGAGAGCACTAAATAAGGGTATAATGATAAACTTACTTAGTTTTTTAGGAAACGCGACACCTAAAATGGTGACATAAATATAAAAACGGAGGTAATAAAGAACTATTTCATTTTAATAGTGTTCAATTATCAAAAGATACTCCCTCTAGTTCATATTAACTGAATTATGAAACTATTAACTATTTTACATTTTCTAGTTGAATAATTTGAAAATAATCAAAAAGATAATAGTGAAAATAGCTTATAATTTATGTGTCAAAATCCAATAATTTACTTAATATGAATTAGAAAGAGTATTTAATAAATAAGAAAATTTTGATAAATTATAAGTACTTGATATTTATTGTTTTTCCGTGAAGTGAAATGAAGACTTATTTTGAGACGGAAAAAGCAAACCCACAAATCGTAATAAGGAAAAAGAAAGAAGGGAAGCCAACAAATAGTTGGTCAGTGGCTTAACTCATGCAAGCAAACTAAACAAAATAGAAGCTACTCATTTGCTGCCAATTGTCATTGTACTAGATTGAATGGGCTTTGTTATGAGGCCCATTATGTTGATACTTTGGGCTTTACTCAGATCCATATACCTACTAGCTAGGTTCATGGGCTAAATCCAAAACTTAGTTCAATGAGCTTGGGTGATGAATAGGGAAGAAATTGCTAAGATATAAGGTAAAGTAATTCCGAGAGTTTGATTGGAGGTATTAGGTAATTTCTTGGATTATTTATCTCATCATTCAAATCACAGTGATGCGGTAAGTTTATTCAATAATTTATCACCATCTAAAGGCGTATCTGCATTTGTCACGCTTAGTTCATTTCAATCTTAAAAACAACCCAATTATGTTGATGATTAAAACTAGTCATTTGTCTTGTTATTAAACTAGTAGTGTGTTTACGTAATTTTCCCTTGTTGTATTCACATTCAATGTGTCATTTCTTGATACATTATTTTTTTCTAATACATCCTATTAAATGATCCCTTAAAATTTGAATTTATCAAATTTAAATTTTGTATCCGCTATAAATGGATAATGCAATTTTCTCAGCATTTGACGGATGGAAAATAGAAAATCAGCAAATTGATTGGTTTAAAACCTGTAAAGGGCCCAAAATGTGAAGTGGATAAAATGATAGTAGCCAAACGTGTCCTTTTTCTCATCCAAATAAAAATTGCTTCTTTATTGCTGCGTTGCAGAGTCGCGCCATTGCTGCTAACTGGTAATTTACAGATCCCTTCTAAAAAATACTCTATTTGATCATATACCTTTTGTTTCTTCCTCTTATTGATTCAAAATTTTGCTCTGTTTTTTTAGTTTACCATTTTAAAACTGTTACCTTTTCTTGATTTTTGTTGATCTCATCTAGCTTTTGTTTAACAAATTCTTTCTTTGTGGGTGATTTATCTTATTGGTTGAAGACTTATTCGGCTTCCGTGAAAAAGTGTTTTAGTTTGACTGAGCACGGAGTTAAGAAATTAAGGGGGATATTTGAATTTTGTGCTATTAAATTATAAGTGTGTATAGTTCTTTAAATCTTGTACTCTTAAACTTGTGGTGAACAATGTTGGAATTGAAACACTTACTAATTATACGAAAAGGGACTCTTTTCGGCAAATACCAAAAAGGAAAGTAAGACACTTGAATTGGATGGAGTCTGGAAGGAGTATCTAATTAAGGGTTCTCAAATGGGGTAGATTATATCCAGATGTTTAAAAA